CCTTCCTCCCTTCCTCCCCTCTTTCCCCTTCCCTTCCCTTCCTTCCTTTCCTTCCCTTCCTTCCCTCCTTCTTTTTCTTATTTTTTATTTTTTAGAGTCTCATTCTGTCGCCCAGGCTGAAGTGCAGTGGCGCGATCTCAGCTTCACTGCAACCTACGCCTCCCGGGTTCAAGCGATTCTCCTGCCTCAGCCTCCGGAGTAGCTGGAATTACAGGTGCGCACCACCGCGCCCACTTAATTTTTGTATTTTTAGTAGAGACGGAGTTTTGCCATGTTGGCCAGGCTGGTCTCGAACTACTGACCTCAGGTGATCTTCCAGCCTTGGCCTTCGGAAGTGCTTGGATTACAGGCGTGAGCCACCGCGCCCAGCCAGGTTTTTTTCTTGTATTGTTTTTAATGGGACATGATCGTTGTAAAAATCTAAAACGATTCTGAACTCTTTATATTGGTTGGTAGATGGGTTCTTCATTTTTAGTTTATTAGGGACATCAACCCTTTTCTCAAATGCATTGAAAATGTTTTATCTGTGGTCTGTCTTGCAAACCTGTGTAAAGGTGATTTTTGGTGGACAAAGACTTATTTTTGTTGTTGTTTGGTTTTATAGACAAGGTCTCACTCACCTAGGCTGGAGTGCAGTGGTTTGATTGGCTAACTGCAGCCTCGACCTCCCAGGCTTAATCCATCCCCCAGCCTCAGCCTCCCGTGTAGCTAGAACCACAGGCCTGCGCCACCACGCGGCTCACTTTTGTATTTTTGGTAGAGACAGAGTTTTGCCATGTTGCCCAGGTCTTGAACTCCTGGACTCAAGCTATCTGCCCGCTTTGGCCTTCCAAATCACGCTGGAATTACAGGCGTGAGCCACTGTACCCAGGATAAAGACTTATTTTTTGTAGTCAAATTTATCAACATTTTTCAGTCTTTTAGATTTCACAATTCTCTTTTTGGTTTCTCAACTCTTTAATGTTTATTTGTTCAGATACCCAACTTAGATATATTTTTTCAAGTTCTCACATAAACACAAAACTGGAAATTTAGATTTAAATTGCGTTTAATTTATACATCCCTGGACATCTGGGAGCTGGCCTTGGTATTCTGTTGAACATAAATTTCAGAGAACATCAGCATCGGACAAGGTCACTCTGTGACCATGAGGGAGCAAGACAGAAACAGAACCTCTCCATCATCACATCTGAACGCTGGCAAAGGTGAACACTGTCCAAACCACAAAAGGCATGAAACATCCCTCTTTCTCCCACAGGAGAGTGACTGTTGTTTCCTTACCAATTACAGCACTAGCCTCCAGCTAATCTTCTCTCCTGGGCAAGATTCATTAAGATAGTCCGTCATAGACATACCCCCACCGCTGACAGCATCCAAGCCAGAGAGAAGCCTGGCTTCCCTAAACCCTGACTGAAATCACTGAACATGGGCACAAATCCTCCTTTAAGTCCTTTCTAGCACCTTCTTACTGAAATGCCCCAGAGTGCAGGAGTAATATGCCCAATTTGTTCAACCGCAGATGTATTCCTGGTGGTCTTTGGCTAGAGTGGCAGATTAATTTAGAAAAAGGCTTGCTTTAGTTTTCTATCACGAAATACATAATTCCATTTATTCACATCTCCTTGGAGATCCATACAGTTGTGAGGTTTTGTTCATATATAATAGTTTAAGTTTATTTCTTCCTAGGTTATATTAATAATTGTTTGTATTAAAAACTGAGGGGCTGGGCATGACTGGCTCACACCTGTAATTCCAGTGCTTTAGGAGGCCAAGATGGGGGAGGATTGCTTGAGACCAGGAGTTCGAGACCAGCCTGGGAAACATAGCAGGACTCCGTTTCTACAAAGAAAAAAATGTTTTAAACATGAGTGGGACACGGCGGCATGTGCCTGTAGTCCCAGCTACTCAAGAAGCTGAGGTGGGAAGATCACTTAAGCCTAGGAGTTTGAGGCTGTTATTCGAGTCACAGTTGCACCGCTGCACACCAGCCTGGGTTACAGAGGAAGACTCTGTCTCTAAAAACCAAAATTGGGGCCGGACGCGGTGGCTCAAGCCTGTAATGCCAGCACTTTGGGAGGCCGAGACGGGTGGATCACGAGGTCAGGAGATCGAGACCATCCTGGCTAACATGGTGAAACCCCGTCTCTACTAAAAACACAAAAAACTAGCCGGGGGAGGTGGCGGGCGCCTGTAGTCCCAGCTATTCAGGAGGCTGCAGTGGGAGAATGGCGTGAACCCGGGAGGCGGAGCTTGCAGTGAGCTGAGATCGCGCCACTGTACTCCAGCCTGGGCGACAGAGCGAGACTCCATCTCAAAAAAAAAAAAAAAAAAAAACAAAAACCAAAATTGGGGCTTTTATTTTTTCATTTTATTTTCTGACTGATTTTTTTTTAATCTATAGCAGGGGGTGGCAAACTTTTTCTGTAAGGGGTCAAATAGTAAATATTTTAGGTTTTATGGACCTTATGGTCTCTGTCACAGCTGCTCACCTTCACCATTATAGCATGGAAACAGCCATAGACAGTACATACATGAATGAGCATTGTTGTGTTCCAGTAAATCTTTGCAAAAACAGACAGTGGGTTGGATTTGAACCACAGGCCATATTTTTCAGACCCCTTGTCTGTAGCAAACCTGTTGATTTTTATATGTTAATTTTCAAACTAGATATCTACTGAATTCTTTTGTTCCTAATGATTTTTATTTTCTTAAGAAAATAAAATATTAGCCAGAATTAGCCACCTCTCTTTCAAATAATGATAATTTCACCTCATCATTACATCTTCTTTTTTGTTTGTTTTCATTACACCTTGTAATTTGTTTTCTTTTCTTTCCTTTTCTTTTCTTTTTCTTTTTTTTTTTTTTTTTGAGACGGAGTCTCGCTCTGTCGCCCAGGCTGGAGTGCAGTGGCCAGATCTCAGCTCACTACAAGCTCCACCTCCCAGGTTTACGCCATTCTCCCACTGCAGCCTCCTGAGTAGCTGGGACTACAGGCGCCCGCCACCTCGCCCGGCTAGTTTTTTGTATTTTTTAGTAGAGATGGGGTTTCACCGTGTTAGCCAGGATGGTCTCCCCACCAGCATGGTTCAAACTTCATTTACCATGGAATTTTAACGAATTCTGTAAGGTCCAAACCTTGCTGCTGGCTCTTTAGTCCAAAAAACATGACATAAATAACAGATGGGCATCATGATTAGAACATTACTGCTTTCGAAGACTAGTGGTGATTGGCTGGTCAGTGCTGGTCTGTCATTCAGCTCATGCAGACGCCAGACAAGTGTATAGTTGGGTTGCCTCCTTGTCTCTCAGTGATCAACAGATATAACATTTTATGAAATTCAATGATTGGGCCGGGCACGGTGACTCACACCTGTAATCCCAGCGCTTTGGGAGGCCAAGGTGGATGGATCACTTGAGGTCAGGAGTTGAAGACCATCCTGGCCAACCTGGTGAAACTCCGTCTCTACTAAAAATACAAAAATTAGCCAGGCGCCCGTGGTGGTGGGCGCCTATAATCCCAGCTACTCGGAGGCTGAGGCAGGAGAATCACTTAAACCTGGGAGGCAGAGGTTGCCGTGAGCCAAGATTGTGCCACTGCACTCCAGCCTGGGTGACAGAGCGAGACTCCTTCTCAAAATAATAATAATAATAATAATTTTAAAAATCGGATGAATAACTGGAAGGGGGAATGGCTAACAAATATAAAAGTGCAGCAAAAAAAAATGAGGATAAGACTGGAAGTGAAATTGTATATGAAGCTGTGGCACGAACTATATTGAAAGTCTGATGAATATCATGATATAGTTTGGATGCTTATCTCCTCCAATTCTCATGTTGAAGTGTGACCTCCCCCAATGTTGGAGGTGGGGCTTAGTGGGAGGGGTTGGGCCATGGGAGTGGATCCCTCAGGAATGGCTTGGTGCCCTCTTCAAGGTAATGAGTGGTAGTAAGTTCACATGAGAACTGATTATTTAAAAGTGTGGCAGCTCCCCATCCCTCTCTCTTGCTCCCTCTCCTGCCATGTGATACACTGCTCCCCCTTTGCCCTCTGCCATGGTTGTAAGCTTCCCGAGGCCTCACCAGAAGCAGGTGCTGGTGCCATGCTTCTGGTACAGACTGTAGAACTGTGACCCAAATAAACCTCTTTTCTTTATAAATTACCTAGTCTCCAGTGTTCCTTCAGAGCAACACGAAATAAACTAATACATATAATAAACGAGGTAAAGTTGCTTCAACATATTTTTTAAATTTTTTCTTTTAATTTTTTTTTTCTTTGTTGCCCAGGCTAGTCTTGAACTCCTGAGCTCAAGAGATCCTCCCACCTCAGCCTCCCAAAGTGCTGGGATTACAGGCATGAGCCAACACGTCCAGG